ACAGCAGCGAAGTACCCGAAACGCGTGACGTTGACTCTAACTGTGGAGGGAAAAATCGTAGTACCCGGAGAAAAATCCACGCGACCATTCCAAATATAAAAGAGTCACGGTCGGGATTGAACCCACGACTTCCCGTACACTAGGCGAGGTAGTCAACATCTCGCCACAGCGGCGCCACACGAACGACCGTCGCATATCCGCCCCCACGAATTACCTGCTCCCCATTCGCTGCAGAAATTGCGCATGACGGTGAAACTGCCGTGAGCTTTTCATGTTCACAAATGTGACCTCGTCCAGCACAGCAATTGTGTCCTCCAACCCCCGACCCCCCCGCTCGTTCGCTCGCTGCTGAAGCGCAGCGAAGCTTTCCTCCGCGTGTCACGCACTTCTCTTTCTGCCTGGTGGCCTGTGTGAATGTGACGGCGTGTAGCTGCCATTTTATGACGATGTTTACAAAAGCCGACCTCATCGCATGCCCGACCTCATCGCATGCCCGTCGATACCGCCCTCCGCAGCGAGCATGCATAAGTGACGTAGCACTGCTGTACATTACAAGTGGGGGAATGCTTCTCCTCGATGGTGGAAGCACAGTACCTGCAGTCACACTTTGAAATCTATCACTGATGTACATGCGTTCTGCAGGAGCTCTGTATGTAGTAATATTAATAGTAATAACAAGCACGGTCACTTGCTCACCGCTGTATCACAGAGACAACGTCACGAGGCCAAGGCCTGTGGCGATGCTCAGCTCGCAGATACGGCTCATAACTGTTCATGCTTCCAAGTTCGTGACACGAAATATCACATTATGAATCGTGGGTTGCATGCAATTAATTTATTTTTTATCTTAATTTTTAAACGCCTGAAGATGTATGAATAAAGATGTCCAGTTTGGGCGAGGCGTTGCCCCCGCCCCGTGCCACCCAGAAAACTCTGCTCATGATAAACATTTGTAAACGCCTGAAACTTCATCATGTTCGGCAATAAACCAAAGTGGACAGTTTTGTCCTCTGCATGGAAATGGCTGCTGTATGGTGCCGGTTCCTTCTTCCACTCGCTGCTTCAGCAAAGCGTGCAGAGCCAGCTGCAGCAGCAGCATATGAACACTTGGACCACAAATCAAGCATCACCATCGACACAAATTTGTAACATGCGGATGACCTTGCCCTGGCAACGCAAGCAGTCGCTTTCAACGACGTCGAATCTACTCTGAAACAAGATCTAAACACCATGCGGGAATATTTCCGGAAATGAAGGCTCAAGCCAAATCCCCGCAAAACGACAGTCATTGCATTTCATCTTGATAATTATGGGAGCGCCAAGCGCACTCTGACCTTCTGCGGCAACACTGTGCAACCCGAACCCACTCCAACCTATTTCGGAGTGAAGCTGGACCGTACGCGAACCTTCCACGACCACCTGGAAAAGATGGCCGCCAAGACAACAAACAAGGGTCAACCTGGTCTAGAAACCAGGCAGCAGCACCAGGGCTACGGACATCAACGATGGCCCTCGTGTACTCTGTTTCCGAATACCGTGCACCAGTATGGACCAGGAGTAGTCTCACTCGGCTTGTTGATGTCCGACTGAACATTGCGATGCGGTGTATCACTGGAACTCTCAAGTCGACCCCAACAGCCTGGCTGCCCGTGCTGTCACCGCATCTCTCCCTGCAACCCTCCGGGAAGTCGCCTTCCCATTCATGAGGACCTCAACGACGTCCCTCGTCATCGCGTGAAGTCACGCCAAGCCCTTTTGAACCGATGAGCCTAAGCTTAAACAACGCGGATTCAACCCCAATGAACCCTGGAGGGTTGAATGGAGTTAAAAAGAACTCACGCACACTTTGTGAAAGACCAAACATAGAATATCCCTGGGATTGATATTCCACAGAGCTCATGATCCACCCTAAACCGCATCTGCACAAACCATGGCAGTAGATGCAGATACCTGATGCATAAAGGGAAAATTAAAAACTCTCCAGTGTGCGACTGTGGTCATCCAGAACAGATCGTACAACGTATAACGACGCAATGCCTGATACAAAAATACGAAGGTGACATCACTGCGATGATGATACACTCCGCTATGCCTCACGCGGTTGTCTGGCTTGACCACCTGACTGTGAAATTGTAGTTGTTGCTCTATATCTACATCAGCAGCCATACGAAAGAGAGGCCCTGAAAATACATATGAGGAGGCGGTGGGAGCGCTACAGGACTGCAAAGTCCGTGTTTGCCAAAGAGAGTCGGGAGCTGTGCCACAATCTCTTACTCCGAGTGGCACGCCCATGGGAACGGGTCACTACCGCAGAACAAGAAAGAACTCTCCGGTAATTTTTCCACTTTTGTTCGAGCCCTCCGGGGACCCGGATCCCTTCAATAACAACAACATCGTTGTCGTCGTCATCGCAGCACGCGGGATGAGGAAATACCCCGAAGGTTCCACGCATTCCTACTTCGGTATTTAAATACTGTGCGCATAAATAGGAGTCTGAGAAGGTTATTCTACCTGCGATTGCACGCGTGGATTAGAAACACGGACGTTGAGAAGGAAAAATGGAACGGATGCTGAAGAGTGCGCAAAGGACCAGAAAGAGATGCACACTCGGAATTGTACTGAGACAAAGAGGAGCACGTGGATTAGAGATCACACACAAAGTTAGAGACATTACATGACCTGTTAACTAAAGCGAGTAAAATAGACTGCAATGCTCACGATGAATGCATCGAAGCGTACATCTAAGAATCGGTGAGTTATAACGGTCGTAAATTATACGCCAACGCGGGCCACTAGAATTAACAAGACAAAACACGGAAAGGGTTTATGAAGCTTATCGGTTTCTCTTTAAGCACAGTTGCCAAGCTCAGGCCTAGAGGCCCGAAACATCGAGCGGTCGGCCACGAACGGCGGCGTCGACGTTGCAATAGACAAAGAAATTAACGTGAACCTCGGACCCAAACCAGGGTGACCAGGAGCCATTGGTGGGGTCGGGCTGGAGGGTTGAATGCCCATCGCAAAGTAAAGGTATTTCCTCTCTAAGATAACATTCCCTTCGAACTAATACATCGAGATTGAAAACTCATTTCTTGATAACTGCTTTTTGCATTGAGTTTGTTGTCTTCACCCCCCCCCCCCCTCCTGCCCCTGCCACCGCACCTCCGATGAGCACGGTTGGCTACGTACGGTGGGAAAGAAGTTCAACATACAGCAAATCCTCTCGAGCCGCGAAGGGTCACATTGTTCAAAACGCTCGCGAATGCAGAAACCTTGTTCCAATGGGGAAAATGGGATTACGTTACCGCTACGAGTGAACATAGGCGAGGGGGGGAAATGGTAAATAGGGAATTAGTATACATTTAGTAACTCGCGAATATGCAAAACTGGCGAATCAAAACTCGCGCGCAGCAATGGTTTTACCGTGAATACAAACTGACATCCGTGTTGCGTGTCACAACATGACGAGATCCCCAGCGTTATGCTACACAAGAACAAAAGTCCGGAACGAATCTCGTGGCTCAAAGAACGCTTTTGCTGTTGTTGCTAAAGTTATACATTTCTGTAAGTATTCAACATTCAAAAGGCTCAAAGGCGAATCGTCGAGTCAAAATGTGAATTCCCCCAAACGAGGGGGTGGAGAGAAGCGGTCTCCGTGGTAACGCTCGGTCGCGGCGGCGGTCCAATCGCGTCGCCAGAGACAGAGACGTGAAGCTCGCTATGAGTACCGAGACATAATGGATCGGAATGTATCGCGAATATCAATGTATTGTGTCTATAGATCTTGACTTAAAGCTTTCGTGACTGCAGGAATTAATATTCATTGGGTCTTTCGGTAAAGCCACATAGATAGAAAAAATAATATAAATATCACGACGTTTCGATCGCAACACAAGCAATCGTCATCAGGTGAAAAAAATGTTGCGATATGTGTTTTTATTATTTTATTATTTTCTATTATTTTCTATCTACATGGCTTTATATTGTGTATATAGATACATTATGAATATCGATGTGATGTGAATATCAATATGTTGTGTACATCAATGCATCATGAATATTGATGTGGTGAATATCGATGTGTTGAGTATATCTATACATTACGAATATCGATGTGTCGTGTATATCTATACATTACGAATATCGACGTTCTGTGCATATCGATTCGCTTGTGCATATCGATGAGTCGCGTACATCGATGTGTGTTGTGTGCGCGCCTTAAATGGCGAAAAATGTCACCGCGTGAATATCGTGCGAGCGGAGGAAACGCTGACAGTCCACGTAAGGCAGCCCCCCCCCACACCCATAAAACGTGACTCACCGCTCGGCACGTTGCTCCGAGGCCGTTAAACTGCCAAAGGGCCACGAGTTTCAGCCACATCTTTTACACCCGGTGGTCTACAAACTGGGTCGGCTACGTTGGGGGTCGTGCCCATGGGACAGGATTTCTCCACCCTCCAACAACGGACCGTGCTACAACTCGTCGCTGTTCCGTTGAACACGTCATAGGAGGCTCTCACGACCAACACTATCCATCAGAGGGTTATTGTTTTTGGGTTGGATCGCGTAAAAATATAAATGTGTCGTTAAACCCGCCACGACCCGACACGGCCAATTAGTAAGGTTTGTCACGCAAACAAAGCATGCCAATTGGAGTAGCTCCTCGGTTAACAGTGACATCGGTTAACGGTTTCTCGGTTAACGTTTTGCCTCCCATTGAACCCTCTCCTGGCCACTTTACAGCCCAGTGCCCGGTGTCTTTAGGAGTTTAGCAAATCTACGTGATCCACCAACCCTTGCCTCTGAAGGGTTGGATCACAGGTTGACACTCACCCCATGTTTAAGAGGGAGACACTCACCACCCCCCCCCCCCCTTGTAAGTGGGAGGCTCTCACCCCGTGTGTCAGTGGGAGACACTCAACCCCCGTGTATCAGCAGGAGACGCTCACCCCACGTATAAGTGGGAGACGCTCACCCCACGTGTGTCAGTGCGAGACACTCACCCTGCCGTCTTCATCTGGCACCACAGCAGTAGGGCGTCCTTGGCTGACTTCACCTCCCGGCTGTCCTCCGTTTCCACGCTGATGTCCTGGATCTGTGAGGAGCGACAACAGTGGGCACGTTGCATTGTATTCCACCACCCCAACAACAACAACAACAACCGCCATTCGCCACTAAGTGGCGGTGAGGTCACCACGACGCTTGTGCCAGGCTATGTGCACGTTGAGGCCACGTGAAGTGTCGAACGCCCGCTAGCACGAGGTCACGGGGCAAACTCAGGTGCCACGGGTCGACTGACTGGGATGGCTGGCTGATGCACCACCTGTGCCCCCTGTGACAACTCGTCAAAGCACACTCGTCGACACACGTGGCTGCCAGACACCTTTAGCCCGGTCAACTGGGTACAGGCCCAGGTGCCTGCACTGCCGCAGATTCAATACAAACCACGGTTCATACAAGGTGACTGGTGAGACATGCAATGGGCTCCTTCACAATGCATGTGAAAGCTGGACAATTACAAAGACTACAAAGCAAACTGTAAGTCGTAGAATTATCTCTTTTTTTAAAGACGGAGGATGTTAAGAATTTCACGGACGGATGAGACAGGAGGTGACTGAAACATATTTCAGATGGCAGGTACAAAACAGAAATAATAATTAGAGAGCGGTAAAGTTAGATCCTTGGACATGTAAAGAGAGAAAAAGAGAGACTTATAATGTCATGGTTTCACTGGTACAATTACAGGCACAAGAAGCCAGATAAGACAGCGAGTTATGTTACATCATAAGAAATATAAACAATTGGATTGCAACTAGGAGTAAGCATTGCATGCAAAGTTCTTGAGTAAAATCGTGGACAGAGCCAAATGGAGGGAAGGCCATGATCACCGACGTCTCTGGGAAAGGACTTGGCACAGAAAGACTGACACAGAAAGACTGACTTGGCACAGAAAGACTGACTTGGCACAGAAAGACTGACACAGAAAAACTGACACAGAAAGACTGACACAGAAAGACTGACACAGAAAAAAGGACTTGGCACAGAAAGACTGACACTGCCCATAGACTTACATTTCCCCATGTAGCCTCAACAGACTTTTGGGGCAAGTGCTGCTGTTAGCGAGCACCTATGAAGGCCGGCACGGCACACGAGGGGGTGGGTGGCCAGCACCACGCCCGACCGCCTTTGTCTCCCCGGTGGCGATGTTTACTACACATCGCACCAGGTACTCATTTGAGGCTGAGTCGACCTAGGGGAGCGCCAGGACCGGTTCAGATAATCGTCGCTGGTGTTGGTGGCCGCGAGCACGCACACACACACACACCAAGACCAAGTCCAGCAGCTAAATCACGTTTGCCTATGTGAATACAGGCGGTGCACTGTCGCCTTGAGGAGCTCGCGAAATGTTTCGGATGCCCCTCGCGGTTATCTACTCGGGCACGGCGAGGAATGCCGACTGCGTGGCAATGCCGAGAGTCGAACTCGCAGATTGCGTTGTTTCCCACGGGCATGATTTACGCAATGTATTATTTCACGAGCATTATATGTTACGTATTAATAACTGAATACAAGTGATTAACAACCATATATATGTACACAGTAGAAATGCATTTCATTAACTAGAATATTTGTAATGATCCAATTGGCTTCATGGTTAATTTATCAGCAGCAAAAACATCCAGAAAAGGGGCAATCGTCATGCTTCATGAAACTCTCCCCAACTATCCCGTTCAGATATATCGGCTGATGAGTCTACTACAGCTGATGACTCCCGTCAGTGGCGATTCGTCAGCCAGGCCGGCCGAGAGCGATCAGTGTCTCTCCTTGACGCGTCTCTCCAAGGTGGCAAACACGCGCGATTGAGGAATGAGAGCAGTGCCGTGTGGTTCCAATCTAAACTAAACCTAAAAAATGACGTTTTTGTTTATTTTACCAAGTAAGGCCCACTGAGCTATATAGCTCCTTTTCAGAAGCGTACTGGCAACAAATGACAGCTCAACAAAGTGGCTTATCATGTGGAAATGTATACAAACCAAATACGCCAAACGCACGCTTCTAAATGTGGAGGGAAAAACCGGAGGACCCGGAGAAAAACCCACGCGACCACGCGAAGAGAGACACGCAAACTCCAAATATACAGGCATCGTCAGGGTCAAAATTGCACCCACGACCTCCTGTATACCAGGCAAGGTAGTTAACATCTCCCCGTACCCCTAATGAATTATTAATCAGGACACTGGACCTCGAGGCAGCTCTTGGAACAGTACGAACGACTCAATAGGAGTGGATCAAAGAAGGGAGAGTAGTCATTACACAATATGTCCGGCTGTAAACAACGACTGTCTATATATGGCCGGTGGTGGGCTATGCACGTGGTCTGTAATCCAGCACGTGGTCTGTCATCCAGCACGTGGTCTGTAATCCAGCACGTGGTCTGTAATCCAGCACGTGGTCTGTCATCCAGCACGTGATCTGTAATCCAGCACGTGGTCTGTAATCCAGCATGTGGTCTGTAATCCAGCACGTGGTCTGTAATCCAGCACGTGGTCTGTAATCCAGCACGTGGTCTGTAATCCAGCACTGTGGAGGCAGCAAGGGTTGGTGGATCGCACAAATGTTGCGAAACTCCCTTCCCGTGAGCGGGCGTCGAGGGGCAGCAATGTCCTGGCTTGCCAGGAGAAGGCAGTACGTATAAAAAAAACACGTGATCTCCACCTGTTCCGCCTGAATGGGAAAGAGTGTTTCCCCCTCGCATGCGTGCCCTTTCTGCGGGTGCTATGGTTTTCTCACCGTCACACCGATGTGCTAAAGTAATAGCTAACTGGCACGTTTTGTTCACGTGACAAACCTTACTAATTGGCTGTGTGGTGGTGGGTTAACGACACATTTATATTCACGAGATATAAACCAAAAACCTTTATTATGAATAATATTTGTCGTGAAAGCCTACGTGTTAAATGTCCTCCCGGATTCCTGGTCGTCTGTGGTTCCTCTTTGCGTCTCTGAGTCGTGTTACAAGTTGAACGTTATGATTGTTAGAATGCTGAATGCGACGGAGAGGGTATTGCTGTGCTTAGAAATTTAAAAAAAAACACAATATTGCTGGAAGCAGTCTGCTAATCTGCCAATTAATTTAGTAAAGTAAAATTTTTATTTTCATTTTTTCACATTCAATTGTTCCCATTGCCTGTGGTTCGAGCAGAGTGCTCGAATCACGGGCCGGCACCTTGTGGGTTAAGATCCCGGTCGCGGATCGAATCGTTGCTGATAGACTGAGCGCCGTTTTTTGCAGGAAGCCATAACAGCAGGTCATCCCAAGTGAATGTGGAATTTCCTCAGGACTCGTTTTTTGAGTGGGAGACACTCGGCGGTGCAGCTGCTAAAGCGGCACGACATCTGTTGATGGGATGTGTCACCACGCGCTTATTGATGCCATAAATAACAGTGCCATCCCGTTCTTATTATGCAAAGCACCAAAATTAGCATGCTTGGCGACATCCGGGGCTAAAAAAGTTCAACATACATACATGCATATGTAGCCGGTATGGGCTTAATGTAATGAATGGCGTTAATGTGACTGCACAGTAAGCCACGCCCATCAGTGGAATAATCAATTCAGGGTAGAGGGCATCTATTCAGATTCGGATGGACGCTGTACAGGGATTGAGCAGTTAGGTGCCGTGTAACGCGAGCTCGATTGGTGTGCATCCGGTCATATTTACAGACGCACGAAGGCTCCTCAGAAGAACACTTTGAAATAACGAGTGGCCGTTCCACAACCCTCTGGTGTCCCTCGGTGGCGGAGTCACTCGATCCTCAAGAGGAGGGCAGAACACAACGCAGAGTATCCCCTCCGAATTCGTCTACTGTTGTTGTCTTTATTAACGGGCCTGTCTCCTCGTTACGGTCACGGGAGGAGGGGGGTAGGGCGAGCCGGCTACGCGTATAAAAGCAGCGGCGAGGCACTCGAGGTGCGAAAGCAACGCCGCGCGTTAATGGACGATAGCACGTCCAGAGCACACGCTGCAGCATTCGCGTGGGCCGGTTTGTGTTGGGGCGCGCCATCTCTGGGAACTGTGAACGCCGTCGCTCTGCCGTGTGTCTCGCCTCCCGCCGACGGCCGCCTGCTGAGCTGCGCTGCCCATTGTTCACGTGCAGCCCAGTTAAATATAGACGCATTGTCTCTCGGGGCCACGAGGTATTTAGCAATGCACGTGAAAAACAAAAAAACACAAGGAAGGTTACTTAGTGCTTGCTCTTTTGTGAAGCCTGCTGGGGAAACTGAAGTTAGTGGGCCTATTGTTTGGGCCCGAGATAGTTAAAACGTGATGTTATTCTTGGGGTGTATCCATGGAAAAAAACGCACGGCTGTCCATACGTGCCGGTTTAGCGGAATCTATGAATCACAATTTTCATCAAATAAATCAAGGAACACACACTGCGAATATAAATACACGCATATTGGTGTTTCCATGAAAGTTGAGTAATAAGCACCCTCGTGTATTTATGACTCCAGGAGTAGAGCGTCAACCACGCGAAGCGCCACACTCCAGCGGCCTCGTGAAGAGTGGGCGCACCTGACGCGTTCTCATCACCAGGGGGGACATCCCCCCCCACACGGAGAATGAAAATGTACACCGCTTTGAATGCGCCGCAGGCACCGTTCGTTCCTAAGGCTTGTTCGCCTCGTTGTTCACTTGCACCCGGGCTTCACTTTGCCGATTTGTGCAGCAGGGGAATTTATTTCACCGGGCTGACTCAACAGAGGATCGGCAAAAACGACACCAACTCTCTCCCGAAGCCCTCTTCGTGGCTCGCCAGACCTCGACATAGGCGCTTAGCTCCTGACCTATATGCGCAAAGAATAAGCGGGGTTTAAAACAAGATTAATTGATTTTTTTTTACCGAGAGAGAAACCGTCTACTCTGCTGGCCTCCTTCGAAATACATCACGAGAAAATGAGGCGGTTTAATTATAAAATCTATAGTGCCATTTTTTGCACCGTAAAAAACACAAAGGTCTCACCGTGTCTACGAGAGGAGAGCGTGACACGAACATTGACTGTGCAATAACCATGCCAGCTATTGCTATCGG